TTAAAGGAGCTTCGGCTCCCACATCTGTACCTGAGCTTAGGTCTTTCCTTGAAATAGTGAATTATTATGGAATATTCCTACGTAACCTGGCCTCCATCTTGGCACCCTTACACCCGCTATTGAAAAAGCGTCAGCCTTGGAAATGGCCGCATAGCCAATGAGTAGCCTCTAGGAAGTGGAAAAGCAGCTATCATCATCTACGGACCTACTATCCGAAGCGAGAGGTAGTACTGACATACAATGCCTCCGTATATGGTATCAGAGTAATGTTGGCTCACTGGCGGCCCAACGGAGAGGAATGCCTGATAGCGTATGTTTCCCAGACTTTGGCTGACACTGAAGGTAAATATGCTCAGATAGTGAAGGAAGGTTTGGCGGTCATATTTGGCATGAGCAAGTTCCACCAGTACCTTTATGGAAGCAAATTTGTCACAGCAGTAGATCACAAGCCCCTGAGATTTCAGCATTGGGCCCTTATTCTTAGCACACACAAGTACAAGTTAGAATACCATCCAGGAAGCCAAATGGCTAATGTGGATACCTTTAGCTGTCTCCCATTGGCAGATACTCCACTGGTGGTGCCTCCATGGAAGAGTCTATTTTGGTTTTAAACTTCCTGGACACCTTTCCAGTCACTGTAGATAATAAAAGATCCTGCCTCAGTGAAACTGAAACAGCTGGTAGTAATGGGGAAAACAGGCCATCACAACCAGGATTGAAATCTTTCTGGACGCAGTGAGACCAGATCACCGTAGAGGACAGCATATTATTGTGGAGAGCAAGGGTGATTGTCCCGAGTAAAGGTCGCTGCCAGCTACTGGCTGAACTCCACCAGGGTCACCTGGTGAAGATGCTAGCAAGAAGCTATGTCTGGTGGCCGGGGTTGAATGTTGATATAGCTGCATTGGTGGGGCAGTGCTGAGAGTGCCAACAAAGACAAAAATTGCCCCTACATTCGTGGGAATGGCTGGGTAAACCCTGGACTCGGTTGCTTGTCAACTATGCTGATCCTTTCATGGGCTCAATGTTCCTGGTCATTGTGGACACCCATTCAAAGTGGTTGGATGTGCATAAAGTTCGTTTGGCAAACTTGGGGATGGCGACTGAGAAGCTGCGAGCATCGTTTGTGATACATGGACTCCCAGAAGTATTGGTCACAGACAATGGGACATCATTTACCAGCAGGGAATTTGAATATTTCCTGAAGTCAGCTGGCATTTGGCACGTAAGGACAGCTCCATACCATCCATTGTCCAATGGTCTAGCGGAAAGAGCGGTCCAAACACTGAAGGCAGGTTTAAAGTAGCGGCCTACAGTGCCAATTGATACAAAACCACCTGGTTCCTGTTTGATTACAGAACCACCCCTCATGCAATCACAGGGATAATCTAGCAGGGTTGCTGATGGGGAGAAGACCCACACCAGGTTAAACCTGATATTCTAGACCTGGCATGAGGGTGAAACGGCAGCAGGGACGTCAGGGCCAGCCACATGACACCTGTAAGCGAGAGAGACAGTTTAATTCAGGGGATGGAAATTTGGTACCAGAACCATTGAAATGGCCCTGTATGGGTATGAGACGAGGGTGGTGCGAGGTCAGGTCCCTTCACTTACAAAGTTTGGGTTAGTGATACAGTCCTGAACAGACACGTGGATCACCTGACAGCTGTTACCTTGCAAGCAGGGCAGCAGAACGGACCTGGACCCTCAGAACAGCCAGAAGGCCGGGCAGGAACTGCAGGTGCTCTCCTTCCGTCTAGTGTCAAGGAAACCTCAGCGTCCAAGATGGATGCAGCCTCAGAACTATTCCCACCAGAAAAAGAGGAGGAAACTCTCCCGAGATGCTCCAGATGCAAGAGGTGGGCTATGGTCCATACCGCCTGTGTCACAGTCTGAATCAGAGGAACCAGAAATGTTGCAGGAAAAGCTAAAAAGCGAAAGACCAGGCCTACATCCCCAGACTTAGAGGGGGGAGGGATGTAGTGATTGGAACCAGGTTGACCACGTTGACTACAAGGTTGTTGATTGGCTCAGGTTAACAAACCCCAACAAAAGCCCTGGCTGACCTATATAACCAGGCAATTAGAATCTCCTCAGCTCAGGAGACTGACTCTGAGCTGGCTGGCCAAATCCAACATACCCTGCACAAGTAAATAAAGGGTGACTTGGCGATGGGATACCAGCCGCTGTGCAGTTATTTCAAGACTCAACCACTTCAATCAGTGGTGCTGTTACCAATCCACTCTTGGTGATGAATACTGAAATCCCCAACCAGAGCAGATTCTGTGTATTTCCAAATGTCAATGCATCATACAAATGGTTTTTACCATGGAGGAGAGCTGCTGAGGACAGGCAGTAGGTGCTAATCAGCAAGAGGTTTCTTTACCCATGTTTGACTTGATGCCATGAAACTTCATGGGGTCTGGAGTCAATGTTGAAGATTCCCAGGGCAATTCCTTCCTGATTGTATATCACTGCACTGCCACCTCTGGTGGAGGAATGAGGATGATAGCATTTGCGACATTGTCTTTCTGGTATGATTCCATATGAATGACAACATCAGAGGTGGCTTGAATAGTCTGTGTGACAGTTCTCCCATATTTTGCACTAGTCTTCAAAGGAGGTCCTTGCATTAAAGAGTCAACCACATTGCTGTAGATTTGGAGTTGCATGTTGGCCAGACCAGGTGGGGATGGTCGAGTTTCATCAGAATTTTTTTTACTACAATTGACAATGGTTTTGCAGTCACTATTAGACTAGCGTTTGATTTCAGATTTATTAATTGAATTCAAACCCATATCCCGAGAGCATTAGCCCGGGTCTCTTATTACTAGTACAATGACATTATCACTACACCAGCGGTCACACTGGTCACCCTCCCACCCAATTAAATATCCATCATCTCCAAAAATGCTACTGCAGAGGGCAGTGGATTCTGCTTAGAGTTAATGTATCAGATCTCTTTCAATTTTCAGAAAGGCAACTCAGTCCATCTCTCTGCAGACAGATGCTGTCTGCTCTGCTATGTATTTTTAGTACTTCTTGTATTTATTACATTGATGCATGGATCTGACACATTAAACTAAGATGAATATTAATGTTTGGTACAGTTACTTCAGTGGTCTAAATGGCTAGCATGTGGTTTAGATTAACACCAATGGCATGGGCTCAATTTCCATTTCAACTGAAGTAGGCTTGGGATCTGCCTTCTCACCCTGCCCTTGAGAGTGGAAGGCACACCACTGTACACAGCATAGGCAACAAATCCAGAAAATACTTCCAGCTATAGCTTCACCACACAGGCACCAACTGCAGCCCCCACTTTGCCCGCAACACAGCTATAAATGATGCAACATTGTTGTCTCTAGTGACTCTCAGGTCCTCCTTCAGGCCACTTATACAGCTGACAATTCAGCCTCCGACTCCAAATATAAAATAGAAATAAAAAAAATTCTGAAAATATTAACTTGTTGCTGAAGCCTGGTAACATGCTTTGTCACTCTATGTCATCTTCAAACCTTCTGCAGATGTTGGAGGACATCTAACAGTCATGAAAAGAATTGTGAACGACAAAGATAAGGTAGACTCCACATTATCAGGAACCACAGGCTTCAAGAAACAGTTTCAAAATATAGATAAGATATAAGACATGAGACATGAGAATAGTTACCAGTGACCACCCGGTTGTTGATGAGTTAACTGATAGTGCAAAAGGTGGAACAAGAGCAATTGTTTTTATCTTAATGGAAAATATTTCTTGCTCTTAACTGTAAGTGATGGTAACATCCAGTACACTCCTCAAAAGTGATTGTACTCACCATGGTGAATGATACCAAAGATGAAAAAAAAGAATATGAATGTTTTGCACAATATTACGCATTTGCAGGAAAGGTGCACAGGTAGTCTACAGACAGTTCCTGCAGTGCAATATCACAAGTATATCCAATGAGCTGAACCACACTACCACAGAAAATGTGCAGTAATAAGATGAATCATAAATACTGTTACCTTTTGTATGATGCTTGTTTGAAATACTTGAAAAATAAAGAAGAACGTGCATCACCTTTCATAACTTAGGATGTCTCCAAGTGTTTCCAAGTCAATGAGGCACTTTTGAAGTGTAATCATATACATTTATGGGAAAACACGGCAATCAATTTTCACACAGCAAGACGCTAGAAAAATTAAGTTTATAATGATGAGGTAATCAGTTCTAGTGACGTTGGTCGAGGTAAATACTGACCATGACATAAGGACAGCCATTCTACTGTTCTTTAAATAGCACAATGGTATTTATAATGTTCAACTGAGAGGGCTGATGCCTCATGTCAAAGATGGTATAGCCCACGGTGCAGTGCTACATTGAAGTATCCACAGTGCAGTGCCACATTGAAGTGTCCATGGTGCAGTGCTACACTGATGTGTCAATCTAGATTATCTGCTCAAGCCTCGGCAGTGAGACTGGAACCTTGAACCTCTGACTCGGGGTGAAGGCTAGCCAAGGCTGACAATAAGTCTTATTACTAGAATCACTAAGCTTATCCCAGTCTCAAATGTCAGATTGTGAGAACATAACACACCCACTTAAAACTACAAAGCAGATATACAATGCTAGACATGAGTGAAACTCATGCATCAATCCATGGGTCAGCTGTAAAACAGAATTCAATATGCATTATTTTTAGCCCACCCAAACTCAGATGAGAATACTATTTCACATCAGCATGCTGTCTGCCTTTATTTTCCAAAAGGTCAAAGGGCAATGTTTTCATCCACTGTGCCAACACATCCCAAAATAACTCGTGTGTGAATTCAGACAGCTTGCCAGGTGCAATTAACATCATTCCATACATGTTAGGTAGTCCCTCTAGGTATTTTTCCAAAGTGGACACATAGATTACATCTTGGTTGTCACCATTTAGCAAAATCTGATAACTAAACATTTTATTAAAAACCTGGTTTCAAAGTCTCAAAATTACATTCATCCTTTAATTGCTCACCTTGAGAGAGTTCCTGTCTTTTCAGTGGAGTTGGCCCTTTCCCATGGCTTTTTACCAGTATCTGTAAAGAAATATTTAACACCACAACCTCCTTATTTCAAAAAATGTTAATTTGTTGTAAATTTCTCAATAAAAGCAAAATACTGGACATTTGTGTAGTTTGTTGGAAGGGCCTAGAGCCCACATTATTCAGAGCTGCTATCCCAATTTTTTTAGGGAGCTGCTTTCCTGCTGATAACCTCCAAAACCGCCAGGTTTGTACCATTTGGTAACAGCAGGACAGCTGCCTTTCAGGCTTTTGTGCACGTAAGTTCTGATCTAGCCGAAATATGGGATTGGTATTGTGACAGATATAAATGAAATAAGCTCTACCTGAAAATAATCTACTAGAGCTCCAATTTCAGTTTCATACATACCCAGAATTTCTACTGGGCTAAACCCTCTGATCATGTAGGTGTTCAACCCTATTTATGGAGAATTGCACCATTGTATTCATGACAGTGTGGCCTCAAACCTGGCTTCAGTTTAAAAGAAATGTGGACATGTGAACAAGACTTTATTATCCTCTGTACAAATATGTCAAGCTGCACTTTCTGTTGGGTATAACTTTGACATTTATTCATTTGTATCATTTAATATTATCGCATTATCAAATAACAAACACTCACCACTTAAAAGTAAATTATAACTTTGAGTGACTGCATCCACATCCCATGAAAGAATAACAAAAAAAGGTGGCATCACAGTTAACCGCAATTTGGTCTCAATGATGCTCGAGTGGAAGATTATTTTAGCAATGGTCACTGGGCAATGATCAGGAGTGGTAAATTTTGGCGATTATTATCGGCTCTAATACAGGGCAACTGAAGTGATATTGTGCCATTCTAACTGTTGTCATTTCTGAAATTGGCTTAATCAGCACAGATGAGGAAGCAAATTGAACTTTTTGATCCAATGACCACTGGGGGTAGTTTCTTCCTTTATAAAACAATTCCTCAAACTTGCCTTTACGACAGACTTTACACTAGATTAATAATTAAGATCATGTCATGGATTGTGCAATTTTGAGAGCCCAACATGACACCACAGCACAAATAATTCCACAAGATCTTCTATTCTGTAATATTATCTGTTTAATCACTTCTAAATTTAATGTTAATTTTTTTTAATCGGCCTTCCGTCCAGTAAATCTTGGCTATGGCAAGATAACATTTTAATTATTTTGTTGTAATTCAAGGTCAATACAAAAAGCATTCACTAGAAATCAAATGAACAACTGATTAAAATATCTAAATGCTACCACACTCATTTAACCTCACTTAACAGCAAGGTGCGCAGACACTAAAAAATTCTATGCCAACAAAAATACATTTAAAAGGATTATAGATCTCATTGGGAGACGTACATAATGTTTGAAATATAAATAGCTGCCCATGGAGAGTGTGATTCAAGAAAGATTTATGAAATCGTACTTAGAAAACATGCAGAGTTTTGGCATGCCTTGAAGGTAAATTAGTGCACATCGCGATGAAATGCTTGAAAAGATACTGAAGGGGACAGCAAAAGACAAAACGGCTTTCATCCACATAAGGAAATAGTATTAGGTAATAAAAATTACGTACATGAAAGTTGTTTTCAAACTCAGATCTGGGGAATGACTCAAAATAATGTTTCCTGATAAACTTCCAGTGTTTCGGAAAATCGGTCAAGGTGTAGCGGGGAGGAGGGGGCGCAGGTTGGGAAGTGGCCTTGTGGAGTTCACACAAAACTACACACTAAACTGAATATGTAAATAGCGTGAAAATAATAATTGTGTCCTCATAAATACTTTCAGAACATAAAGGACAGGCGTGGGAGAGTCTTGCTGTGACTACATCAAGAAGAAATTTGGAAGGATCATTGAGGCAGCAATTAAGAATGACTGAAACGAGATAGATGGTATTGCGAGTGTTAAGCAGAGAGAAAAGTAAACTCTACTTCAGACAGATTACAATTTAGAAGATAGCCAATAGGTCAATATAAACAGCAATATCTAGAGTGACGGACAAGAACCAGAGACCCAGAACTGGCAGACAATGAAGGAAGATGAAAAGAGGTGATTTGTCTGATAAGTTGTTATATGAATACTTGCGATTAGTGTGTGACGCTGTGGTGATGTTAGGGAATTATAATGTCCAAGACAGAGTCAAACACACGAAATGTACAGAGGAGTCGACAGGAAAGAATGTGATATAGCAATGAGGCGTTACAAAGACATGGGATGTAAATCTAATTGATTCCATGAGAGATGGCAAGCAATGAAACGATGGGTATTCTGGTTGCACATAAATGACATAAAGAAATCCAAACTAATGTCATGGTATGTTACATTAGAAAGATCATGATTTGCTGTATGAAGAACAATTAAAAATAAGAAGACAACAGTAAGACACTTGTCAACAAATGAGTTCTGGGTTATTGGAAATACACCAAGAGTGTACAGTGATAGGTCTTTTGCCTGAAGCTGTTACTATGCGGTGAATGGAAATGGTTGGTTAGGTAGCTCAACAACACTTCAATGTGAAATTGAAGTGAAACACCTTTAAAACATATTATTCTGAGCATACAGAATGGTTACATCCTGAGAACAAAGTTCTGATTACATATAGATGGCTCCAAATGAAATAATAATTGAGAAGGGAAATAAAATTATGCAAGGAAAAGGGGGACATTACTTTTTGTGTGGATTACAAAAATGCTGCATTATATTAAAAGGATGATCAGGGAAAGCTAGGAAAAGGCACGTCAGCAGGGGCTAAACACAATAGCAAAACATTTTTCAGTATTAGAGTAATAAAATGCATGATAACCTCAAAAATTGCAAGCAGATGTGAAGCTGAAATTGAGGTAAGATAAATATTCTGAATAACTGCTTCTTTCAAGTTTTCAAAATGGTAGGAGGAATGGAGGTGTAGAGTATTTCTTAAATGGTGAGCAGTTGGTAAGTGTTGATGTCCAAAGGGGCTTCAGTGTCCTTGTTCATAACTCACTGAAAGCTAGCATGTAGGTGCAATAAACTATTGGTTTGGCAAATGGTATGCCAACCTCTATCACAAGAGGACTTGAGTACACGAGTAAGGATGTCTTGCTTCAGTCGTATAGAACCATGGTGAGACTGTACCTGGAGTATTGTATGCAGTTTTGGTCCTGTTATTTAAGGAAGCACATACCTTTCATACATGGAATGCAGTGGAGAATCACTAAACTAATTTCTGGGAATGTAAAGCTGTCCCATGAGGACACTGGGTCTGTATTCTCTAGAATTCAGAAGAAATGGTGACCCCATTGAAACGTATAAATGTCTTATAGGGGATAGGCTGTATATTGGATGCTGCCGCTGGCTGTGGAAAGGGGAGACATCTAGAACCAGGGCACATTGTCATAAAATAAGGAGCAAGCCAAGTAAGACTGAGATGAGGAGGAATTTTTTTCAGTAAGGGGTTAGTGAATCTTGACCAGATAGCTGTGCCAGTTCGATCATTGAGTAGGTTCATAATTGAGATCCATAGACTTCTACATCCTGTTGACACAAGGTATTTGGGGAAAGTGAGGGACATCAGCTTTGACTTAGATGATCAGTCATCTAGAACAGCAGAACAGGCATGAGAGGCTGAATGGCCTATTCCTGTATGTTCCCCAAAACAGATAACCTGAGCAAAATCAATGAGTTTGATATAAATGAAATAGAAGAGTTAAATGGGAAAGAAAAACACAGATGAAGGGTCTAGGCCCGAAATGTCAGCCTTTTTGCTCCTATGATGCTGCTTGACCTGCTGTGTTCATCCAGCTCTGCACCTTGTTGTCTAGGATCATTTATGGAACAGCTTTCCAGCAGAGTAGTAAAAAGAAATTCAGTGGAATATTTTAGAAAATAATTGGATGTTGTAATGAAAGAATTTTTGGGATTTCTCTGGATGGGCAGCTTACAGTGGGCTATATGGTCTTCCTCATTCAAATGTCCATTTTGATCCTCATCCACAGACCTCGGCTTCTCTGAGGGAAAACACAACCCTGCCCCCCTACAATGTTGTGTATACAAATTCAGTTGTGTATCATTCATGTTTTCAGAGCTGCGAGTGATGTTTCAGATTCAAAGCAGCATCAATGCTGCGTGCTCTCACTTCTCATGTTGGCTGTACTGGGTGCCCCTTCAGTCACCTTGTCAATGTGGGGCTGGCGGCAGGAATATGCACAGTAGGCAGATTGTAACACTGATCTGACTTTAACAGTGCCGGTTTAAACCTCAATGCTCCAATTAACTCTTAACCTCATAGAGCAGTACATCCGCTCGGCAGCAGGAGACACCCACACAATGAGAGGATCATCAACCATTTTCAGGTTAGCTGTTGATCAGTTTCTGCTGCTTGGCGCTGTATTTGTGTAAGTGTGTGCTGTTTCACTGCAAATAGAAGTTAGTAAAGTCTACAAAATGTGGGGAAGGCATTGGTTGTCATTTCTAAGATTTTGTTCATGTCTCAATCCCTCAGCCACTGAAGCTGTAGCTTCCGTTGCCCTTGGTGTGCAGCACAATAAGATAGAATGAACAGAAGAGGTTATATTTGAAAAGAGAGGAGGGAGAAAATGATCCCAGCAAGAGATCATATTTTCAGGGACCAATTCCCTAGCCTCAACCTCAGTGAGAAAGAGTCAGTTTCATGAAGGAGCTGCTCATAGAGATGTGCCACCTGCGGCAGGTCACCCTGCAATCTAAAGCAGAGTGAGACTGCCATAACCAGTGGCTGTAACCATGACCATGGCTTTGAAGTTTTTTCAAGTTAAGTCCCGTTCAGGCTGGCATGGAGATCATCTCCAGCATCTCATAATTTTTTTGGGCACTGTTACATAAAGGATGTTACTGATGCGCTGTATGCAAAAGGAGGGGAATATGTTATAATTCTCTCTTTCTACTGCTTTGAGAAGCTTCAAACCCCATTGAGTACTAATATCTGCCACAATGACTGTAGACTCAAGATCATTGTAGAAAACTGAGCTTGCTTACTTCCAGTTAAGTTTTTACTGCAATGCTCAGAAGCTGGGTGTCTTCCTGTTGTGCTGCAGTGGAAGCTGTGATATCAGCCATCAGATACTGCTTCATGTTCAGATCCACAGTGTGGGAATTCAGCAGGCCCACCACTTCCACACTGAAAATGATAGGCTCCAAGCTCTATGCAAAGTGGTGTTGGACTCCTCAATGCTGCCAGCATCAGAGAATCCAGGTGTTATCTCTTTCTCAGGTGAATGCAACTTACACCATACTCTCCCCTACTCTAGTTACAGCCCACTTACGTTGGGTGTCTCACCATGTTCTGTTCCTACCTCGAAGCTAGCCTCTAAGGTATGTATTCTTGAATTGGTGGCTGCAAGTGTGACATTGAGGAGTGGTATTTCTTCCCCATACTGCCTTCCTGCTGTTTCATCACAGCCTGGGCAGGTACTAATTTCTGGATTTCAGAAAGGACAAAGATACTAAATTCTATTGACAAGGAATGAACATAAGAGGTATAAACCATCTGCAGTTTGATGAGTAGGAGAAATTGTGGGTGATGGGGAAGTAGATGTGAGACAGTATGAATAACTCTGCCATGTCATGTCACTCCTGTGTTTCTCCCAGGTTGAGCATATAGAACGACTTCCAGCACTTGCTCCAGTTAAACTGTACCTGCTCTTTAAGAAGTCCAGGATAGATTAAAACTCCTCACTGCTGACTACACACTGCAAAGGTAGTTTTAGAAGTAGGCACTGGCTAGAAGCAATGGGCACGGGTTAATTCCTGTATCTTTTTCCAGGCTGTTTTTTGATTTGCATGACCACAGCTTATGTGAAATTTACAGGTACAAACATTTCCAAAAGGACCACGATTTCCATCTGTCAAATTACATTCACATTCATAATTCCACAAATAATTGATTACAGACTTCACCTGTTGAATTCTGCACACCAGGACCTCGTGAACTGGGTGAAGGTGAAGAGCTTGCATCCTCCTGATTAAAATAATAACAGCAATAATAATAATTATTATGAGTTTTCTTGTCAAAATTGTATTTTACTGTTTTTCTTCTGAATAACTTGTATTAATGCTGCTTAAGAACTTTTTGTTAACTACTCTATGTCTTTTTGTCATTTAGATCAAACATTTTCTTTCTAGAACATGTCAGTAATACAATTGCCTTCATATCTGCAGCATGAGTTTGTCATTTACTATTTTATAAATCTGACCTAATATGTGCTTATAATGTAAAAAAAGAGCTGATTTACACACATTCTGGCTTTCCTCCTCTTTTTTGTCACTTGCTTTATCTGTTTGTTGGGCAGCTTTCCTCCTGAAAAGGGAGAAAAATAAACACATTTCAGTCTTATGTTGTTGTTGAAATAATTCGGCCAGTTGCAACATAACTTCTGTGATTTTTTTTCTGCTCCAAGGTGACTAATTGTAAACTGAAATTTTTCTCATTTTTTTAAAAGGATACTTCTATCCACTGAAGACAAATTTTGATGTTATCTGTGGTGTTTGACATAAGTGAAAATAATCAGCACATCTGTTTTAGTTCTGCTCTGCCATTGCCTTTCAGTGTTGCTTCAACCATGTTCCCTGCACATAGTCAGTCTACTTTAGGAATCAGCTTTAATGATTTGTCAGCTTTTTGTAGTTGTCTCAACCCAAAGGACTGAAGGAGGCTAAAGAAATAGACATAGATAGTGTAGTGATTGTAACAAGGTCAGCCAGTTGTGCCTCATAGAATATGGGCTCCCCATTTGGAGCTGTTAACCTGGTCCAATCAGGGAGCCCTGGCTGACAGATATAAGCAGGAATGTCAGGGGTTCTGTTCAGTCTGAGAGTTGGCTCTGTGGGAGCTGGATCAGTGTCAAGGACTCTCCGCATTTAAATAAAGAGTGACTTGGTAATGGGATACCAGCCTTTGTGGGGGTTATTTCAGACAGTTAAATGAATGCGCAAAGATGTGGCAAATGGTGTACCATGTGGGACAATGTGGAATTGTCTGTTTTGGCAGGAAGAATAAAAAAGGACATTTTCTAAATGGTACGAGTTTTGAGTTACAGAAGGATCCAGGCATCCTCCTGCAGGAATTGCAAAAGATTAATCTGGAGAAATGGCAAGTAATTAGGAAAGCTCATAGAATGTTAACATTTATTGGGGAGGAAATATATACAAAAGTACAGAGATTATGGTTCAGTTATACAGGACACTGGTGAGACTGCATTTGGAGCACTGTGCAAGGTTTTGGTCACAATACTGAGGGAGGCTGTAAATGCATTAGAGGGGTAGTTCGGAGAAAGTTACTAGACTATTACTTGGAATGAGTGGGTGTCTTATTAGGAAAAGTAGAACAGGCTAGGGTTGTATCCATTGGAGTTCAGAGAGGCAATAGAAATGTAAAAGATCCTGCAGGCTCTTAACTGGATGGATGTGGACAGGATGTTCCCTTCTGTTGGAGAATCCTGACCTAGGGTCATTGTTTAAATTTCAGGGGTTGCCCCTTTAAATCAGAGATGAGGCAAATAATTTTCTGTCGGAGGTTTGTGAATCTTTAGAATTCTCTTCCTGAAAAGGTGGTATAAACAGAGTCTTTGAGCAGATTCTTGTGAAGTAGGCAATGAAAAGTTATCAGGGGTAGGTGGGAACAAGGATTTGAGATTACAAACAAATCTTATTGGATGGTAAAGCAGGATCACTTAATGGCCTACTTAATGGTTTCTAATTTGTGTGTTTGTATAAAGGGGAAACCCGTACATGGGATGGTCAATGACTGTGGATATGGTCTGGCAGCTATGCTGAACGGATGTCATCATGTTGGTACCTTGTGTAATAATTTTGCCACTGCCTCAATTTCCTGTCCTGATCCACTGGCTGTGTTTCAAACTTAAGTGCAAAGTCCAAAGGGCTTTTGTAAATCCTAGCTGTTGCAGACAAAGGGTTTTAATAGACCTCTTAATTTCCCTTAGTTATCTACCCACTGCTAGTAAATGGGTCACCATTCCAACCCTCACCCAGCCTCTCTAAAACGGTTGTGGCTCATGAACTTGGCACTGAATCAGTCTGATGGTGCCAGTTTGTGGACCTGCTCACCTCTGATCCTGACCTCACGATCAACTAAAAATCTGCCTTTCGTGTTTGTAAATTCCATTTTGCATTATGGATCTTAGAAATTGATCAGAATTGGCCAATCATATCCCTGGATTATCTCAGCTGTTCTTTTAATAGCAACGTCACAATTGGTGTTCTACCCTTCTTTCATATAATACACCTTCCAAAGAGTTTGTGAAAATTATTGTTTGTGACTTTTTTCCCTCTTTCCAAACACATTCAACAGTCTGGCCTGCACACTATCTGGATCTGCAATTTAATACAATTTCATTTTGAATAAGGGTCTTCATGAGTGATTCATTCATAACCTTCTAAAGGCCTACTTCCAATTTCCACGATAAAATAACTTCTCCATTATCCTGTTAATCACACATCTCTTAAATGGTCCTTTGCTCCTTTGCATCATTTCCTTAAATATGTGCTTTGATTCATTGTCATTCATATCAATTGTCATCCTTACTTCCTAATTTTTCTAAACTAATCTCCTTCTTTGCTAGACAATTTTTATTTTATTTTTCATAGTTTGTTTCAAAGCAGTTTTATTTTAGTATTTCCATTTATCTTTGGAAACACAATGCTCATACATCATCTCAACTCCTACTCATATGGCATTTATACGATCGCTGTTTAAATATCTCCTACTACTGGTGCTATTTTTTCCAACTAGCTAATTCCAACTGGATCACCTTTCATTATATGATGGACCGTACAACATTTCTCTGTAATATATGTTCTTAATTTGTCTAATTCATCACACATTTAGATCATACTATCACTGGCTTAGCACATACCGTTTTGCGAGCAGTTTATTCATTTCATCCATCAATCCTCCTCCTCCCCCTGTTGCTGCTGCTCCACAGCTGTTCCGATTGGTCTCACTCTTTGACATTCCCCCAGGACTGGAGCTTCCTGAACCATCTTCAGGCTACAGAGAAGTTTTAGAGATGAAGATAATGATTTTGGAATAATCTACGTTTGCTACATATTTTCAATATAGACTGTTCAATTTACAAAAGCCTTTTCTTTCAAGGTACGAAGTAATAAAATCTGAATTTTTAATAACATGACATAGGAACAGGAGTAGGCCATTCAGTCTTTGAGCCTGCTTCATTATTCAACTGCATCATAGATAACTATCTACCTCAATACCACTGCCCCCACCATATCCACATCATTGTATGTCATTATTCTCAAAAATCTGTTGATGTTTGATTTGAACATGCTCAATGATTAAGAATTCCAAAGAGTGAAGAAATTTTTCCTCATCTCAGTCCTAAACTCTTTGTTCTGAAAATATATCCCCTGGTTCTAGACTCAACTGCCTATCCATATCCATCCTATCATGCCCTTTAAGAATTTTCAAGTTTCAATGAGGTTACTGATCATTCTTCAAAATTCCAGAGAATAAAGACCCTGTCAACTTGATTTTTCTTTTTAAGGCAATCTTGCCATCCCAGTGATTTTTCTGATGAATGTCCATGCCGTCCCTCTATGACAGATATTTCTCTTATTAGATAAGAAAACAGAAACTGTGCACAGTATTCTAGGTCATTTAGTCATGGGGCATGGAAACAGACTCTTCAGCTCACCTTGTCCATGCCAACTAGGCTTCCTAGACTGAACTAGTCCCATTTGCCTGCATTTGGCCCATATCCCTCTAAACCTTTCCTAACAATGTACCTGTCCAAATCTCTTTTAAATGTTGCAATTGTAATCGCCTCTACCACTTCCTCTGGCAGCTCGTTCCATATACGCACCACCCTCTGTGTGAAAAAGTTGTCCGTCAGGTCTCTTTTAAATCTTCCTTTTCTTACCTTAAACCTATGCCCTCTAGTATTGGACACCCAACCCTGGGGAAAAGACCTTGTCTATTCACCTTATCTATGCCCTTCATGATTTCATAAACCTCTATAAGGTCACCCCTCAGCGTCGTACGCTCCAGGGAAAGAAGTTTCAGCCTATCCAGTCTCTCCTTGTAACTCAAACCCTTTCCAGTTTAATAACTTCCTTCCTATAGCAGGGTGATCAGAACTGTATGCAGTATTCCAAACATGGCCTTACCAATGTCCTGTACAGCTGTAACATGAGTCCCAACTCTTGTACTCAATGCTCTGACCAATGAAGCCAATCATTGGCAAACTCCTCCTTCAACACCTTCTCTACCTGTGACACCACTTTCATGGAACTATGTACCTGCACCCTAGATTTTTCTGTTTAGCAACTGAGTATAGGAGTTGGGACATCATATTGAGTTGTACAGGACATTAGTGAGGCCTCTTCTGGAGTAATGTGTCCAGTTCTGGTCGCAAACTTATAGGAAGGATATTATTAAGCTGGAGAGGATTCAGAAGAGATTTACCAGGATGTTGCCAAATATGGAAGGTTAGTGTTATAAAGAAAGGCTGCATAGGCTGGGACTTTTTCACTGGAGAGTAGGAGGATGAAAGGTGACTTTATACAAGTTTATAAAATCATGAGGGGTATGGCTAGGGTTAATAGTAGGTGTCCTTTCCCTAGGATGGGGGATTTCAAGATTAGGGAGCACATTTTTAAGGTGAAAGGAGAGAGATTTAAGAAAGACATGAGGGGCAAGGTTTTTACACAGAGGGTGATTTGCATGTGGAATGATCTTCCTGGGAAGTGGTGAATGTGGGCACAATACAATGTTTTGGATAAGTACATGAATTGGAAAGGTTTGGAGGGATATGGGCCAGCAGCAGGCAGGTGGGATGAGTTTAGTTTGGGATTATGTTCAGCATGGACTGGTTTTACCAAAGGATCTGTTTCTGTGCTGCATGACACTACTATTACTCCCTGAGACCCTCCCATTAACTGTGTAAGTCCTGTCCTGATTTTTCTTACCAAAATGCAACACCTCACATTTATCTAAATTAAACTCCATCTGCCATTTCTCAGCCCACTGGCCCAGTCTATCAAGTACTCATTGTACTCTTAGATAACCTTTCTTACTGTCCACTTTTCCACCAATTTTGGTGTCATCTGCATACTTACTAACCATGCCTCCTATATTCTCATTCAAATCGTTTACATAAATGATGAACAACAGTGGATCCAGCACCAATCCTTGTAGCACACCACTGGTCACAGGCCTCTAGTCTGAACAATAACCCTCTACCACCTGTCTCCTACCATCAAGTCAATTTTGTATCCAATTGGCTAGCTCTCCCTGGATCCCATGTGATCTAACCTTGCTAATCAGTCTACCATGCAGAATATTGTGCGTGCTTTCACAAAGGCTTTAAACAACTGTGGCAAGGCATCTTTGCTCTTGCACTCAAATATCTTTGCAACGAGGACCATCATACCATTTGTTTTCTGAATTGCTTACTGCTGTTGCACTTTAGCTTTGAGTCACTCGAATGGGACATCCTGGTCTCTTTGAACACTGGCACTTCCAAATCTCTCACTGTTTAAGAAATTTTCTGCCTTTCTGCTTTTTCCACCAAAGTCAATAATTCCACACTTATATTCTGTCAGCCATATTCTAGCCCATTCACTTGGCCTATCCAAGTCTTGTTGGTGTATCCTTGCATTCTCCTTAGAACTCACATTTCCACCCAATTAGTGTCATCAGCAAATATGGAAATCTTACAATTGGTTGTCATATTCAAATTATTATAAAGATTGTGAACAACTCTAGACCTAGCACCGATCATTGTGGTTACTTCACTAGCACTAGCCTGATATCCTAACATTCTGACACGCTAAGAATGATTCATTTATTCCTACTCTGTTTTCTTATATTAAGCAGTTCTTAATTCATATTAACATATTTTTTCCCAGGCCCATGCGCTCTAATTTTATTTAAAAAGTCCGTGTGGAACTTATCAAAAGCTTTCTGAAAATCTAAATCTAAATGCTACAATATCCTCAAATGCTCCAACAACTTGATTTTCCTTTCATAAATCCATGTTGATTCTGCCCAGTTCTAACCTTTCTTTTCAAAATGCCCAGTTATCACATCCTTTATAATAGGTTCTACCATTTTCCCAATTACTGACGTCAAACTAACAGATCTGTAATTTTCCATTCTCCCTCTTCTTCCTTTTTTAAATAGTGAGTTACATTTGCCACTTTCCAGTCCACAGGAACCTTTCTGTAATCTTGAAAAATAATCACCAATGCATCCATTATTTCTTAAGCTACCTAGGATTTATCAAGTACCAGTTTAATCAACTTTTTAAATGCTGCCTCTTTACTATTAGGAATTTAGTTTAGTCTCTCAATTTCCCTTGGTTGCCTAGTTTGTCTCTGAGAATTCTGTATACTCTTCTGTGAGGATAAATGCAAAGTAACTGTTTAGGTCCTTCACCACTTCCATGTTCTCCATTAGAAATTCTCCTGTCCTCATCTATAAGGGCCCAGCATTTGTTCTAGCTCATCTGTTCCTTTTCTCCTCCTCAAAGAAACTTCTGCAGCCCACCTTTATGCTGCTCACTAGTTTGTATTCACAGTCTCTTTTTCCTTTATTAATGAGCTTCTTGGTCCTCAATTGACTCCCAATCCTCAGACTTACAACTTCTCTGGCATCTTTTAAGCCACTTCCTTTGACATAATCCAATCTTTAACTTCTTTTCATAACCATATTTTGATTCACCTTTCCCTTTGCATATTTATGACTTCGACAATTGTATGTCTGCTGTAGACCATGCAGCATTTATTTCAATACAAACATTTGTCTGTCTGCCATCAAATTGTTTAGTGTATTTTCCCAAACCACTGTATCCAACTTACCCCTCATTTCTTCATGACTTCCTTTCTTTAAGGCCCTGGTTTCAGAATGAACTACATCATATCAAAAATAATGCATACTGTAAAGGCCCTTTACAATAATTTGTTTTAACTATCCTTTTTCATTCCTTAACACTAAGTCCAAAATAGCCTGGCTTGGCTTGTTCTTCAATGTACTGCTCCAGAAATCCATCTTTTATACACTCCAGGAATTCACAGAATTAGTGCTGATTTGGTCAACGCAGTCTATTGCAGTTTGCCATTATTACTGCATTACCCACATTACGTGTATCTACTTTCCTGAGTTATACCATGCCCAACATTACCACAACATTTCGGTGGCCTATAAACAATGCCCACCAATGCTTATTGCTTAGTGTTGTTTCTTAGCTCCACCTAAACTTATTCTATATCTTAATGATCTAAGATCTTCCCTTACTAATGACCTGTCCTGTCTTTTTTAAGAGCCCTTAACAAACTATCTTTTCCTGTTGCCTATGCCTCTTAAATGCCAAATATCCTTGAATAGTCAGTACCCAATCATGGTTACCATGCAGCCGCATTTCAGTAATGGTAATTAAATCATAGACATTTACTGCAATTTGTGCCTTCAACCTTTAGGTGAATGTTACGTGCATTCTGGAATGGGTACGTTGATCTTGTGTCTGACTGACTTGATTCTTTGCAAGGTATTAAAGAAGGTTGACCAAGGTAGTGCAGTAGCTGTGGTTTGTATGAACTCCTGGATGTTACAAAATGCTAGATAAGAGGCTTACATGCAAAGATGCAGATCCATGAAATTAAGGGTAAAGTGGATTTTAAAAGTTGCCTCAGTGAAGGAATGAAAAGTTGACAGGATATGGATATTTTTCAGCATGGGTGATGCTTTGTCGTGGACTTCTCATTACAATTTTCAACAACCTAGAATTGCAATGTAGGAAACAACATTTTAGAATTTGCAAATGATGTGAAAATTGATAAGATATTAAACAATGTTGAGGATAATCAGGATGCCACAGGAACGATGGCGAACTTGGTGGAAGCATGGCAGATGGAGTTTGATAAATGAGGCCAAACTGGTTGAACTGAACTGAAAACAAAGCAGGTAATAATTTCTGCTGGGAGCCTACTATTTCAATTTAAATTCAATTAATCAATATACCTAGAATAACACAACAAAGTCAGTAATGAAGATCATGGGACCATTGGGTTATCGTATAAAAATAAATCTGATTCTCAAATATTGTGATGGTCTTTAACCTGGAAGCTGTAACCAAGGAAAATTTATAATTATATTAAAGTGTTCGAGGAATTTGTAGTTATTTAAAAAAAAATTTCGACAGACATTTAAGAGTTTGTATTGCTTGTAAAGCGGCCAACTGTAACTTGTGATTGATAACAAATATCGGCATGTGGCCTGGCAACCCTTGAACTAGAAGTAGTACCCACAGGAAGGAAATTAAAACATGGTGGTCGTGTGCATTCAGTACTGTCTGGAGCACTAGTGGTGGTGGGGTTGTGTTGAGAATGGTAGCGAAGGCACATTTTCAAGGAAGGTAAAGTCAGAAAGCTGGATAAATGGTTACAGCAGAGATTGTGAAGTGGATAATTCTACCATTACAGTTTCAGTTTTGCCAAAGTCGACTAGATGTTTAACAGGGTTTATTAATGGATTCAGATAAAGAATTCTGCAGGGAATCTGTGCAATCCAGACTGCCATAAACTGAGATAAGGAGATTCTACAGCTGTGTGCCATTCCGGTGATGGCTATTTCCAGGGAATTTGAATAAAGTACAGTTGCTGCTGCGGGGGACTAGAGGACTAAATCCATTGAGTGGGAAAAGTGAGCGATCCTATGTATAGGAACAAAAACAAAAACAAAGTTGCTGGAGAAGCTCAGCAGGTCTGGCAGCAGCTGTGAAGGGAAAGACAGAGTTAACGTTTCGGGTCCGGTGAGCCTTCCTCAGAACCCGTTCTGGGTTCTGGGTCACTGGACCCGAAACATTAACTCTGTCTTTCCTTTCACAGATGTTGCCAGACCTGCTGAGCCCCTCCAGCAACTTTGTTTTTGTTTTTGTTCCTGATTTACAGCATCCAGAGTTCTTTCGGTTTTTATTCCTGTGTATAGGAGGATGAGTTGGAAAAAATTTGAGATTAAACATACGCCACATTTATGCAGCTTATGACGTGAGTAATTATAAGGTTGTGAGGCATATTTTTGTTGTAAATTGAAATTCGATTTTGAGTGAAGTACCATTTGTCTATTAACTCATGTTTAATTTATGTTCATTCTGATTCCTATTAATGCTTCATATGATTTAAAGATTCCTAAGGGAATCTGGGGATAAATCAATGTCTTTCAGAGAAGGAAAGATGTGCTCCTAACCTTGTTAAGCAAAGGTTAGCATTCATCAAGACTGTGCAGTGGGGTAGGAGGTTGTGATGGTAGCAATATTGATTGGAGATAGAAGTTGAGGTTATGGGTTGTGATAGTTTTTTCTTCTGGCATATTGTTCATATGCACAAATATTCATGTACCTAGGTGCCAATCACATTGTTGTTGGCAGGCAGAATTCCTTTATGATTGAAAACTGGTTGCCACTTTACAGACCAATTGGCTACTTGTTGCTGGCTGCATCTCACTCAGTATACGCTCCCATGCCAATTCTTCTGCAACTAACCTATTCCCACCGGCTGAACTGTGTGAATATTACGTACAATAATCACTGGTAACTTACTTTTAAAAAGTGCAGTAATCCCTTTCCCAATCTTTGGTTTTTAAAACAGTCCTTTTTCACATTTCAGTCCACAAACAGAAATACAGGAAATAAAATAATACAGTCTTTACACTGTCGTAGCCCACAAATCACCCCCATAGCCAGTCTGACAGTACTTGCTTTGAGTACACCTCAAGAGTTTTATAAGGATGAAAATAAAACTAAACCTGTAATAGTTGTACAGCATTCACTTATGCATACCTGGTATTAGAAAAAAGAACTTCCATTCATGAAACCTATCCAATATTTTAAAATCTCAAATCAATAATTTCTTATAAAAATAAACTTTTTAAACCACTCATCAAATATAGAAAATCCATGAATAAAATCATTACACTATAAATTGAGCCATGAACTCAGAATCCCTTGCTTAGGCATTTATAATTTTTGAAACCTGGCCAAACATTCATAATGACATAACAATAGCATTTGAAAAATGACAACAATTGTCACTATTGAAATTGACCGACTAGATGGTAGGTTATTTCGCTAGGCTACAATGGATACCTTGCTATTTAGAGTAAAAAAACTGCTGACAGTTTCAACATGTTTGTTTCATGGTTAAAGAATAAGGGACTTTAATTAAACTTAATATGCATAACAAGGCCTTATCTGCCCTTCAAAAGAATTTATGTCAATTCCATCAATTTGTGATTCCCACACTATGGGTTAATGTCCTTGCAACAATAAAAATGGTACCTCTTTGAATCTAGCAGTACAATTATAAGGTTCTGCTGAGTTCAGGTTTCCATCCTGTGAGAATTATGTAATCCCTCCCCTTCCCTCTGCTGATAAATTTGGACCAGTTGGAAATGTGGTGAGGACTTCAACATATTTAAATGTTCACAGAGTCTTCCAAACTTCATGAAAAGCCAGTCCAAAGAATTCATTATTCTTTAACAGAAGAAAACTAATTAACTGCAAATCTATCTCCTCATAATTATTTCATGCAAACATGAACAACCTACAGATAGTTGGGGTCAGTTAGCTCAGTTGGCTAGTTGGCTGGATGGCTGGTTTGCAATACAGTCTGATGCCAAAGCATGGCTTTAATTCCTGTGCTGGCTGAGGTTACAAACATCGAAAAGGAAAGATGAATTAAATGTGGTTACCATAAGGGGCTCTCCTTCTCAACCTCTCTCCTCAACTGAGGCATGATGACCATCAGGTTAACCCACCACCAGTTGCCATTCCCTAATGAGAGAACAACTCTATGGTCTGTTAAGACTATGGTAACTTTACCTTTCTTACAGCTGGAAAATTATCAGTCTTTTTTTTATTACTGGGTGACATCACAACATTGAAATGATCCCATCATCCCAATCTCAGAATTTGCTTTAATAACTTATCTTTATTGTAATATAGAAACCAAAATTCAGCACAAAGTGCCAGATGTACCTTCAACAAGACTTTAATAATAGTTTCTCAGGTGCACATTCAATACTTATGTTTTTATTTACCACATACAAGCACTAAACATTGTTGGAATTGAAAATGGGCAACAGAGTTTGTCAACTGATCCAAATATTAATCCAGAATGCATTTAAGTATTTTTTAAAATTAAGTTCTTACTGTGAAGCTAATGTGTTTAGATGATCTAATGATAGGTGATAGGCTAACTTTGTAACTGGTACAACTTATTGTCTACACAAATAGCCACAGACAAACAGAATGTGATTTATTAATCTGGATTAGATATTGTACAAGAATTGCATTCTCTCAACTATCACATTGTTTCCCAAGCTGACATAATTTACTCTGCAATATTTGCACTGCAGATCTCAATTCCAGGAAAAAGTCAAATGGTGTCAATACTGTAGTGATAAACAAGTTTAACTTAGGGTCACTTCATACCATGTGAAGAACATATTCCCATATTAGCACTTGAATAATGTGTACCAATTTACAATATCTTCATGCAATAAAGGTACTGAAATGGTCCCGAGGATTTTAAATGCTGATTTGGGTACAAGAATCTGGTCTGCACTCCACAAACTGCACCACAAAATTATTTCCAAAGCGTGTGACATGACTTCATTTCCCCAATTCATCAAAAGATGTTCTAATTGTTTTACATGGCACAGGACGTGTTTAAAAGAAAAGTAACTCCTACCCGACTGGTTTTCCTCAGTTTGGCTCCAGCAAGTGCTGCTGCCAGACCTGAAGCTGAAGGTCCATCATCACCTCTAGCTCCTGGGCTTCCACAAGCTGGCAATGGAGGGGGAGGAGGTGGCCCACCTCCAGACGCTGGTGGAGGCCCTGGTGGCGGTGGAGGTGGTGGGGGACCACCAGCAGGAGGTGGCGGGGGGCACGTAGTTTGGGTTGGGGGTCCTCCAGGAGTTATGGAAGGAACTGAAATAGAAGTAGAAATAAACTTAAGTACAGCTTTAATCGACTTCAAGACGATAATCAATTAGAAGGAAAGGTCAGAATGCTACCATATGCTGTTAAAAACAGATTAATGTTGAATGCAGATACAGATGCATAAAAATGTTAATGTTTCATTGCACTCTGAAATTGAAGAGAAGGTAAATTTAAAATGTATTTGTTATCTGGTTAGTCTTGCAGCACAAAATTAAATAACAAAAGATTAAAGGTCAAAATAAAATATAATAGCATTTAATTACATATTTAATATAATTGGAGTAACTACTTTCAATTGACAAAGGGGATTAGTTTAAGTATCTTTCACTCTAATAGAGGTCATTTTAAAGGACTAGCATAATAGATGCCATATGCCATATGCTTGGTCTGTACTTGTACCTTAAACTAATTTGATTTCTTTTCCTCTCTATCTCAATTCACATACTGAAATTAAGTAGAATGCTGTAACATCCTCAAGTCAACAAGTTATACTGGGTGAATCTGTCAATTTTTGATAATTATAAAACAATCGTGCTTGGGTGCATTTCTCTTGGATATTACAGTAACATGTCATCAGGATCCAGATTTCAGATGCTGAGTTAGGAAAATAACAGGACGAAAGCAAGTGATATATCTATGGAATAGCATCGCAAAACTAAAAAAGGTTCTTTGAAATAAAACTCTTATCATATATACCATATATGTGTATATATATGTATATCCTCCATTAAACTAGTCCTTTACAATTTTGTATGCATTAACAATCATTTAAGAATGAACTTCTTTTAATATTCAATCCAAGCAGAGAAAGAATAAAAAATAGGCCAGAAGATGCTATCAACAAAAATTCACACAGAGGTTACATTACTTCCAGCACGACATCACTTACCCGACTGGGTAATGGTAGTTGAAGTAACTGATGTCATGGGAGATGGGGTCTTCTTGGACATTGCTGCCTCAGAGCAAGCAGCATAAAATGGAGGAGATGTAACAAAGTGTGAGATGGTTTTATAGAGTTGCTGTGCAGGGAGTGCAGATGAAAGTGACAACTTTGGGAATTGGAAGGACTACTTAACAGACACCCGAGATACAGGAGTAGATGCTAAACTAAATATGAAAGAGCCCTCTGTACTTTTTACTGGAGACTTAGAAGTCAGGTGAGTTGCAGTTAGAAAATGATCTTCATCCTGACCATTCTGGTTTGTGGCAGATGGAGCTACCTGGACCACAGAATCCATAGGTCTTTTAACCTTGCCATCATGCACATGAATAACAGGGGAAGCAACTGGAATTACAGACTGTCGTTCAATAGCCCTGTGGGGAGGAGAGGTGATCATCACGGGAGGAGATGGAGGTAGAGGAGAAGATGTAGCAGATGAATCAGAGACAGACGTATGAAGCAATGGGGGAGGATGGAAGGGAGAAGGAGAAGGGGATAAGGGGTTCATGCTGACATGCTGACACCTGGTTCCAAGGTTTGGCTGCACAGGAGAAAACGCAGAACTTATGGAAGCAGATAATTGTGGCACTGAGGTTCGAAGAGGTGGAGGTTCAGAATGTGCATTGTTCAATGTTAGCTGGCAAGTATCATCAGCAAATACTACTTTAGGAGAAACTGTGGAATTGAAGGATGAAGCTTTGGCATAAGATAGAGGAGGGGCAGTACACGAAGATACAATCATACTGTAGTTACTGTACTCAGGTGGAGGAGATTGGCTATGTGAAGGGGAAGGAGCAACTTTGATCTGAAGGGTAGAAACTAAGCAACAGAGGAGGAAAAAAAAGAAAAGAAATAGTAAGTATATTATGTTATAAATCAAAAGGGCAAAGAGCAACTAAACCTTAAAAATATTCTACCATAGTTGAAAAACACACTGACAGAGGGAGATGGGATTAATCTTTTATTTCGCCCTGATAAACATGAGCTCTTTTGAGGTGGATTTCAAAATATCTGACCTATGAATGCATGGCTATCTTTTATTCTGGTAAATTGGTAGCTTGGACAGAAATGATTATTTTATCCACATTCCCAATGAGAAGAAGATGGCAATGATCTGATTGACCATTAGACCACACATGTGTGATTAGAAGCCGAGACAACAAGGTGCAGGGCTGGATGAACACAGCAGGCCAAGCAGCATCATAGGAGCAGAGAGGCTGACGTTTCGGGCCTAGACTCTTCATCAGAAATGGGGGAGGGGAAGGGGGTTCTGAAATAAATAGGGAGAGAGTGGGAGGCGGATAGAAGAGGGATAGAGGAGAGGATAGGTGGAGAGGAAACAAACAGGTCGAAGAGGCAGGGATGCAGCCAGTAAAGGTGAGTGTAGGTAGGGAGTTAGGAAGGGGATAGGTCAGTCCAGGGAGGACGGACAGGTCAAGGGGGCGGGATGAGGTTGGTCGGTAGGAGATGGAGGTGCGGCTTGAGGTGGGAGGAGGGGATAGGTGGGAGGAAGAACAGGTTAGG